AGTTGAAGGCACCTAGCTAACGTTGTATCTTAAGAAAAGTGAGTTGAAAACTAAAGCAGCTGCAATTGTGTAGCTACACTCTATACCAAAGTAAAAATCGCATAAACGAACAGTTCTATCCAAAAACTTTCCGTAAAGCACGAACATGCTTCTATCTTCAAAATCTTTAAGTTTATTTGGAAAGTTAGTGAATTGAATTACGGCAAGAACTTTTGCAACAATCTGTTAGGTTGATAAGGAAGTTCTCAAACATTGCTTTTGAACAAGGGTTTTGTTTGAATGCGACCACCAAATAAATAGGACATACATCACACCACTGAAAAGATAAAGCAAGTTCTATAAAATTATACTGATTAATAGCATAACTAGTGTTCCTTGGTAAATAGAGGCGAAAATTTGAGGACATAGGATATTGAAGAGCTCAGGTCTCCAACTTCGTGTAAACGCTGTTACACCCACAAATGCTTCAATATATAGTAGACATGGTCACAAACATACATATATGCAAAGCCTGTATGAAATTCGAGCTTATTAGCATCCTAAGAGATAGCATTTTCAATTTGAAAATGTTCGTAAACTTTCTTACCAACTCAATACTAGTTTGGATGCCGTACTACTTGGGCTCAAAGCTTGTTTATCACACGCGTTGTTTCACTTTTCATAGTTTTTGAGCAAATCAATGGTTTATTAAAAGTAAAAAACCTGGTTTTGTCACAAACTTTTCCAAAGACTTGCACAAACAAGCTCATTTGCAGGAAAGCTTTAACATTCCCTGCATAATTTTTTGAGTTGTTGAATGTGTGCACAACTAAAAACCTACTGCTCGAACGCTGTCATAAAAAGGAGTTCGTGCTTCTTTTACTGTAAAAACACATTACTACCACTGCAAGCAAAACGCAAAGATCTGCTGAGAATCTTTGCGGTAGCCCAAGTCATCCAAGGTCTTGGTTGCTGAAAACATGGAAAGTACTAGGCTTTTTGAAAAGTCTTGTCCGATTTTAGTTGGCATCGGTTTTTTAAGAATTTTGCACTTGTAGCAATATCATGAACACCATTAGAAAACGCTTTTCTTGCTCTTTCGAACGCTTACTACACTTCAGTATAATATTTTTCATGTAATTTTATTCCCAAAACAGATGCTGCCGAAATGCAGTCGGTTCCACGAGAATTCTGTGAAGAAAATCTCTGCGCTGACATAAGCTTATTCTAAGTAAAATCTAATAGTGGGTAAGGATTTAATGGGATATATGCACATTTTTACTTCCGCATAGAAAATAAGAGTCTCTGAACTTGTCTTAAAAGATTAGAAATTTCCCTAGCTATTCTACAAGAGGTCGCAATCTAAGCATAGCGACATTAATGTAATCAATACTGCGTATGTTGGAGAAAAGCAAACAAGGCCATCAATATAATCTGTCATTAAAAAGTCGCTATATTTACACGCGCGGAGGTGTGCTAAAATAGCGATGTTTTTCATTTGTTCACAGACTTTATGCAGCAAAGATTTTTTTATCATAATATAATCTCTGAAATATGGGCTACTCAATGATGGCAAGCAAATATGTCTGCCTATCCTTATGTGGGAGCATTACGAGCATCTACTATGTCAAAAAGATGGATTTAGAGGGAACTCCACAAAATTCTTGGAATTTTTGCCCTCGAATTAATCGCCTTCTTTACTATCAAAATGTACTTTCAAACAAAAACTCGCCTAAAATCAGCAAAATTTAAGCTGTTCAGAAATGTTTCTTTTGTAAAAAAAAACTTGTCACATTTCAATAACGGCAACAACAACGGCGAATGGGACAGAACTTTTATAACCTAGTATCTTACGAAACTGAGAATGGGCTTCATCAAAAACAGGAGGAACTTCTCAGAGAATGCAAATTTGGATACATAAAAGAAGTGTAAATTGTGTGAAATTTTCTCGTTTCTGATCGATAAGCGAATGGCATTCTTCCTGTAGCATTGAATGCTCTAAACCTGACGTCTGTGTTTATTGCAAACGCATCACGTTATACTGGATGCTGTGCTGCCTTGCGAATATTTATAGAACAGAAATAAATTGACAAAACATTTTCCTGCATCTTAACTTTTCGGAAAAAATGAAATGAAGTGAAATGTGAAAGCTATGAGCTGAATTTATGTCAAGTTTGTGCAGTGAGCCCAGGATTTTTTAAACTTGATTGCTCAATTACAGCTGTGATCCACAATTACAGCTTTTTTAGCTGTACTCAGTTACAGCTGTTGTCCGACCCTTTTGCTTCTTTCGGGAGGCGTGCAAATGTTACCCAGGCAGCCGCCTGGTGCCGCAGCCAGCCGCCAGCTGGCATCTAGGCCGCGACTGAGCTACCGTAAGCGCGCTCTCGTCGCGCTCAACCTCTCGCAGAGAGATTTTCGCAGAGCTCGCACCTCATCGCGCTGAGGTGCGAGAATTCCCTCAGACGTCGCGCTACTGCCACATATTATACAGGGTGTCCGTAAAGTGTGTATACACTGTTTGATCGTTAATATCTTTCTTCCCAACAAGTCTTTTCCTTGCTTCAGGTAGCATTTTGTAGAGCTGGCTTCAACTTAGATTTGCAGTATAGAACGAATCACCCATTTCCCTTCATTACTGTAGGATTACGGTGGAAACTTCAAAGAGGGTTTTGAGCCATGAAAGGCCATATTTTGCCTCAGAAGGGAAACATAACAGCCTGAAAGTTTTACACTAAGCTAATTAGAGCTGTTGATGCTAACTGTAAAGTTCCCAAATTATTATGATGCTTCATTGAAGAGTTATGCTGGGTAAGAGGTAGCGGACCTTTTTTGAATGTTTCTAAAAACCATTTAGCTGTTACACCATTTAGAAAGCTTCGCAATCTTATGAGTAGTTGAGTATTGAACTCAGCGTCCATAAAAACCCTATTACACAAGTTTTCACACTTTTTTTGAAAAATTTGGAGATGGCAGCTTTTTCCACATTCACACCATATGTTTCAAATTTCTACCGTAATCCTACAGTAGTGAAGAGGGATCGGTGGTTCGCTATACTGTAAATCTAAGTTGAAGTCAGCTCTACAAAACGGTACCTGAAGCAAGGCAAAAGAATTGTTGGGAAGAAAGATATTAACAATCAAACAGTGTATACATACTTTACGGACACCCTGTATATCGATCAAGACGGCAGGAATTATGTAGTCTATTAGTAAGATACAATGTAAAAATAAACAAAAATAAAAAATTTTAAAAAAATTAAATTGATGGAATAATTATAAAATTAAATTAAAGGCATAACATTATGAAATGAATTTTGTTCGTTTACTAGGCAATTCCTTGTTTCTTTTCTTAATCTCAAAATTGATGGACTCCTTATTTTTAGAGCTGCATCCTCGCAAATCACTAGGGTAGAAATGAACAGTATTCCTGAAGAATTAAGGATTTTACCAGATCGGGAGGATTTTTTACAAGTCCGATTGCCAAATATTTTTATCTACTACTTCGATGTAATTATTGCGTTAAATGCCCACACAATTATTTTTGCAAATCTCCTAAATTTTTAAGAAATTAAGACAGTCATTGAAATCGGACTAAAAGCGCTGATCGGGGACAGCGTCCACTAGTAATCCAAGTAATCCCATAACGATTTAACCAGGGATAGAAAAAGAGCACTTATAAACCATCCGCGCAATGTGTGGCGGAGGTTTTGAAGTTCGTGAAAAAATTCAAAATGAATGAAGGAAAATTTGAAAAGAACCCCGGTTCCAATTTTATTCGCCTCATACAAAAGAGAAATCGCGAAACTCACAAGCTCATTTTTGATTGCATGAAAGAGAAATCAAGCTTCTTTCAATCTGATTCCGCCTCGGCATTTCCACAGTTGCTGACTCGTTCAGACTTTTTTGTGCACAGCGGACCGTATAGCCACTGTCAAGATATTATTGGTTGAAACTTTTGATTTAGCCCTGACTTTCATAGTAGCTTTGCCCGACTACCCATACTTGAGATTAGGAAGGCTATAAGCGAATTTGAGTGCAAGTTTCCAGGAAAATTGAAAACAACAAAATGAGTTTCAAAATTTTACGGTAATAAATTAGCAAGTCCAAATTTCGGGTGATTTATAGCGAGGACAAAATCGAAAAAATGATATGATTGCGTGAGAACTGTGAGAGTGAGAAGTGAGAACTCAACATCTTTAAAGTCAAAAAGTGACTTTATTTGAATTGGATCAGATATCCCCATGGTGTCGCACATTTTTCTACTATTAGTAAAACTCTTCAACAGTTTTGATTTGTTACTTTTGGGTGGCATGCAGCTTGGGTGCCCTCTCCGATAACTGCGTGCAGTTGCTGATGGTGATTCTTGAATGTTTATAGGACATTTGCCTATGCGACGACGAAAGCAGAGGCAAGAAACACAGCGATTTGATTTTTAATGACGAAAATTCCACATATTAGGAATCGAAGCCCAAGCTGAATCATGGAAGCATCGCCAAGATTATTGTTTTCGTATGTGCCATAACTTTGAATAGTTGCAGTGTGATTGTGATCCTTCTTTCGTCAATTCAATTAGAATAAATTCGTGGAAATCTACTAATTGTCAGTTATTACGAGCTTGTAAATGTTTTTTCGTTGAATATCGCTCTGCAATCTTACGAAGCAAGGCAAACTTTTGATCACTTTTAAGGGTGCCCAACTGTAGAAGTTGATGGTCAGTGTCCTTTACTGAGTCTTAATCAATTTTCTCAAAAAGAATGAATTAACAGTTCTTTATTTAGTGAATCCTAAAAGTACCATTTCCACACGTTTAGTCAAACGAAGGAATTCCCTGTTATATTGACATTCGCGTGCATAACATCACTGGCTGTCCAAGAAATTTCTTAAGAGGATGGGCAACAGAAAGAAAGTTTGACTGAAGAGGATTGGCGACTTTTAAAATCTTTCTCTTCGCATCTTCGCTGCCCTTTGTTGAACTTGTTAATAAAATTATTGAAACATTGGATTATGCTTTATACTCTAATTGAGACCAATTAATTTCAGATAAAGCAAAGATGAAGTCAACTTTTGTTGTCATTTTCCTACTTTGTTTTGTGGTCAGCAGTGCAAGAAACTTGTGTGAAGACTATCTTAAAAATAAGTGGATGGCTACGAGAAAATGCGTACAGCATTGCAAAAACGACGAGGTATGTGTCATATTAACTGCAATTTGAAAGATCACTCACAATCAGAGGCAGAAAAGGACCGAGGACGGTGTTTCGCATTTTAAGGGAACGCTGGCAAAGTGCCTGCAATCTTTCTATCATCACATTAGATTGAACCAAAAGTTGTTCGCACCATTTTCAAAAATCGTAAATTCTTTTTCTTAAGATTATCTTGCAACAACAAAATAATGTTAGGAATAGCAAAGCACCAAGCTTTGATTGCAGAGATAAAATTCGAAAGAGGAAATCGCTGCAATTCCGGAATTTTGAGGCAAGCACGTCAAAAATTCTAAAACTGTGGCATAAAATTCAAAACAGGCTGTATCCTAGATTATTTGGCTTCCTCTTTTTAGCCTAGCAAAATTTGCGTCAGTCGAGCTTTTCTGAAAAGGCTATGACTTTCGAGAGAAAAATGCCAAAAAAACAGCTTTTGAAAATGTTTTTTGGCATTTTTTGTCAGAAATCATAAGTTTTCGAAGAACAGCTTGATCAGCGCAAATTTTGCTCCGCTAGAAAGGGGGAGTCAAAAATCTAATAAGGGAAGGACGCCAACATTAGTCGATTGGAGATGGAATCTATATCATTAAACCCGCCCTTGAACGCTGATTCCGAATCTGCTTTCCTTATTTGCGGAATAATTTTCCGAAAGAAGTTATGAGCGTTTGAATGTCCAAATTTGCCAAGCATTGAGAGATTTAAAATAAACGAAAAGCTTTAAAAAATATTTATGCGATTTCCACCCGTTTTGTTTCTTCCTTGCAAAGATATATCGATGCAAAACTGATTTTCCACTTTCCGATGTTTTGTACAGCTTTTCGCCAATTTTAGGCCACCGAAACCTTGAAAATTTGGACATTTAAAATCTCATATGTTCTTTCGAAAACTTGTTCCGCAAAAAAAGAAAATCAATTTGGAATCAGCGTTCAAAGGCGCGTCTACTGATATACATCCATCTTCATACGCCGACTACTACTGGTATCTTTCCCTAGTAAGATGCCGGCTAGTTTAGATTTTTGGTACAGTTTTAAAATTTTTTATGGGCTTGCCTCAAAATTCCGAAATTGAAGTGATTTCCTTTTCCCACAATATCTCTGCAACATACCTTCGATAGTCTAGAGAGAGGGCGTCAAAAGTGAAGGTTGTTTGAGCATCTGACGTCATAAATAGTGAAGGTTGTTTAAAGAAGATTAGAGAGGAGAAAATGACATAAAACAAATTTAAAAGCAAAAGAAACCGCTGAAAACTGGATAAAAACTCTGCAATATGGTTTGAAATTTTTCATTTGGGGGCTTTTCGGAGTGCAAGTTTTCGCTCCAGGACCGGCAGTTTGCAACACGGGGTTTTGATTTTCGATGCGTCCTTTGAATTTTTACCCCCGCATTGACGTTCCTGTTCCCTGGGATGTTGTCTAGATTGTTGCGCTTATTGTTCTGAGCAATAATCTCCCAAGCTGGAAAAAATCGCTGCGATAGCACTGAAAAAGAACAAAGTAAAGAAAAATGCACTTTTTACGATTTTTCTCAAAAAATTCCACTATAATCGAAAGAATAAGAGCTGGGTGGTTGTCTGCATCATGAACCGAAGCAAGATCTATAGAATGCACGAAAAAACCGCGTGAAAAGAGTTAAACTAGGAGAAAAACAAGTGATTTTCGAAAACAAGGTTTTTGCCGGATTTCTTGATCAAATCAAAAAATGTGGTTTTGGGACGTTGTCAGCGTGCAAATAGAGATCAAGAGCTTCAAAATGATATATAGCTTGTTAAATTTGGGTTCGAAACAGCGAAGAAAAGGGTACCAGAGCCAAATGCCCCGCGCCCCGCGTTTGGGGTAGCGAGGTAGCGCGCAGCGCGCGGAGACGCAGACGAGCAGCGGAGACAGACCAGAGCCGACGGGGCATTTGGCTCTGGTCGTAGATCTCCGAGGGGTCTCAACGAAACCCTGCAACAATATATATCATTCTGATCGCCATGACACGACGAGGAGAACTGACAACGTCCCAAGCTTTAAAAATCACTCATCAACGAGATAGAGCAGCGTTTTCGTGCGCGATTTTCTGCGCGAGATTCAAGCGCAGTTTCTCGTTTTTGTTCAACTCCAATACCTTTCCTAAACTTCTGAAACTCTATTTTGGTCAAATGAGAGGTTAACTGAGGAACTGTCCTAAATTCTGGCGAAAAATCCACGCAAACCTTCTTTTCAACGTAAAAAAGCCTATGAAAACGCAAATTCTCGGTTTCGCTGAGATAAGCTAAAGATATTATTGCCTATATTTGCTTCATTAACATTCGTTCCGATATAGTCAGGATAATAAGATCCGGGCGAAGCCCCGGATGACTTCTGTTTTTTTCCAGGTGAAGGTTGTGGCCCCTCATAGGCCTCAAAGTGAAGGTTACCAGAGTACGTGGCTCTATGTATCGAGGGTATGCTCTGCAATCGAAGCTTAGTAGATAGCAACCAAGGTGCCTTTAGAAAATATACGCTTTGCTCTTTCTAATTTCATTTTTGTCATTCAAAATTATCGTAAAGGAAAGAAGTACGATTTTCTGAAAATGATGCGAACGAACTTTCGGTTCAACCTAATAATAATTATTATACTTACAAGTAGAAAAAGTCGCGTCGTTTGCACAATCTTATAAAACATTTAAATAGCTTTCAAAAATTTCGCGATCCATTCTCGTGGGAGGGGGGCTTCTTCCTCTCCCCCCCCCCCCCTCTCGGTACACCTCTGCTCAATACTGAACAACCACAAAATTGAAAAGCTCGCAAACTTGAAGACAACTTCGACGGCAACACGGTAATTTGATCGCAGCACTAGAACGGAAGGTTTTTGACGTCTAAATTGTCTTTCTTAAGACATATGAGGATGCGCAATAATAAGTTTGACCCACGATATTCTTCGGAAGAGGTCAACTCAGTTCAACAAAGCTGACAAAGGCTTACTAGTATCCCTCAATATCTTTTGCGATGTGTCAAGATTCGTTAAGACGCCTTCTTCTAGCCCGAAAGTGCAAACATTTTTTCTGTATTTCCAGATGAGAAATTTTGTTAGTAATATAATACGAAACAAAGACGCCTCTTTAGTAAGTGCTTGTCGCTTTCTTTGATGGAAAATCTCCTCGCTATTGAATTTCGAATCTCAAACATTTACAAAAACAGCTCGAAATAGAGTAGAGGCATCATGTTTACAATAGGAAACCAATTCGCGGTTGCGGGTCTTCATCTCAGCATGAAGGTGCTGTTGAGCCAGCGAAGACTAGCAATGGGCTGTGATGATGTCGTTATCATTTCAGAGGTGCGGAGCTGGTAACTGCATATTGCATGATGATGTATACGCATGCCGGTGCTTGGCTTGTTATTGACGGATGCCGAAGACAATAGCTTGATGTTTGGCAAATAAATATTTTCACAGTTAGCAATGCTTAGTTACAATGAATAACATTGTTTACGTGTCGCATTATAGTAGTGTATGTCTATGTCACGCTTTACATTTCTTGATGTGGCTCATTTTTCCGCGGTAAGAACATTATCGGCGGAATTGTCATATCATATGTTAGCGTAAAGAATCAACATATCATATCTCGGCTACTTCAAATTTGAAGTGTTCTTACAAATTTGCATGTGGATACGGATTTGTGGATACATTCTAAAGATACTACTCAAAACAAATCCAGAAAATCATTTTTTGACCTAACCAAACTTTTGAGTGACTCCCTTTGGTGGTGACAACCAACGCTCTTGACCACTTGGCTGGCCAAGAAAGAAGAAGTTCCACAAAAATAACACAAAGCTGATTCGATATTCTGTACCGCATTTGAATCGCCGAATTTTCTCAAAACCGAAGCTTTCTCAATTTTCTTTCAATTCGTACTGAAATTTTCTTGAAATTTCCTGAAAAAGAAAAATGAAATTGATTCTCCGAGTGAACAATGCTTCATTTGTTTCGTGTTGCACGACTTCGCAAAAAGAGCTTCGAAGCTAGAAATCGTCGATCTGTGGTCGAAAGTTTGACCGTTTTGCCCGTTTTTACGCTTTCCGATGAAAAAAAGCGTAGCATGATCAATCTGATTGTTTTATCCTTCAGAGTGCAAGGAAATTACGTGTAGATGAACAAAACTTGCAAATGGATTTGAAGTTTTAAGTAACGTTCACTTCTCAATTATCCTATTGATTCTTCGATTCTTTCTTCGATAAAGCAAATGAAAGCAAGACTTGTTTGTTTACAAACAGGGAGATGTTACACATACAACAAAGTCATATTTTATCATTTTATCAATCCACGTTTATCCAGCCATTGTCAAATTGAATTTATGGCTTCAATCAGCCAAGAATCTTTTCTGCCATTTTTTCAATCAAGATTTTAATAACTTGGGCGATGACGCTAAGTACACATTGACATAATCGCGCACCGATAACAATGGAAAAGAGCTTCATATGTGTATTTTCTGGCAAGTCTAAATGACATACATAAGGTTGTGTAAAATCTTAACGTGTTTTATGAGTAAGTGTCAGAAAGACTTCTACAAAATGATTTCGTACGTACGAGCGTATAACGTGCCAATGCGCAAAACTTCAGTGAGCAATTGTTACTTGAAATTTTGGCTTCCTTTCAAAGAACAACGTTATGACCGTCAATACTCAAAACCCTCCAGTTCAACTAAATTTGTTCTTGAAACATTGAAAACGTTCATAAAGAAATGATTGCATAAAATCCGAGGCGCTTAAACTTTTTAGTACAGCGATAAACTTGATTTATTGATCCGCTACCTAATCTTTTAAACAAACTCGAAAGGAAAGTTTTGTCTAAGCATGCTAGAAGGTAACTTGTAGATACGCTTATCTAATTTGGAACCTTGATATTGAATACGACTTTTGATTAGATAAACTAACTTGGATCAAGTGCTCAAGGTGCTTTTGGCTTGTAATAAATTCGTAGTTTTTCCAGAAAATCCCTCAAAGATCTAATAGTGCGAGGGCTGCGGCAGTACTATTTGCGAAAGTTGAAATCTTTATTGTATCAATAAGATACGTTGAAAGGTTTGCTTGTGAGTTGTTGTTTGGGTTCTTGCTGCTTGTGAGTTGTTGTTTGGGTTCCTGCTGTTACAAACAGCCCTTGCAAATTGCCGTGTTGAGCAGCGTCAACGCTAAATGGGTCCATGTCATCGTTGCTAATGCGCGGTTAGCATAAACGACGAAAACGTCTAGCAATGGCCAAAAGTGATGAACTTGACTCCAAGGGTAGAACGACATTCTTCCTTTATAGATCTTTTATACTGCTTATCATAGACGAATCGTCGATTCCCAGTATCAAATAGAGGCGAAGTATTGTGGACATTTAACATGCTGATAAACTGTTTAAACTTTGATTAGGTAAATGTTTTTGGAATCACCGTAATGGTCAGAAAGCATACACTTTGAACTACCCGGTCGTTACGTAGAACTGAGAGTTGATCACACCTTGTTGTGGAGGGATGGACAAAAGCCAACTTCTTATCAGACTGATGTTGTGTGATCAATTGGCAGATAATACAAAAAATGGATAGTTCACTTGTGAAGAAGCAAAGCTGTCAGCCGGTGAGTTAGCGGCTTTGCTAGGCTTTCAACCACTCTCTAAAATTATATCCACGAAAGTCCAAAATGGAGGAAGGCGGAGTTTCAAAACCCATTTTATTCATTTGCGGTGGAAACTGGTTGGAATTGCTTTCGCTCTCAATATCCAAAATTCAACCACGAGGCAAAGTGGTGTAATGAAAAGAATTCAACTCACATGAGCTCTAGCCTGCGGAAGAATCACGCGAAATTCCATTTAGACAGGGTACTTGGGATTCACCTCCATTTTAAATGCGCTTGAAAGCCCATTTTACTCCTAGCAGCAAGGTGAGCTGGGAATAACCTCATTTCTGACCTTCTTGCACATTTTGATTGCGATTTTTTCAGTATGTGTTTCTTAGCTTATTTTGAGGTAACAAGTGACTGAATGAAATCTGAAATAAGTATTTCCTTCTAAACCCATATAGACATTATGAGAATCGTGGAAGAAAGTAAAATTCATCAAGAAGCCCGCTAACAAACTCAAATGTTCTCAAATATCAGGCAAATGCGAAAGTTCCTATTTAAAAATAAAAATTCGCTAACTTTTCAAACTATTAAGTCGCCCACCCTTCACCCATGCACTTTTTTGGAGAATTTCAGATATGCTATAGATTTTCTAAAAGCGGGACGAGGCGGTTTCGATGGTCACCATTTCCTTGTATCAGCTATTCATCTATAAAATTTATGAATTTTTCTTATGTTGAAAACTCGTAAGTGTACAGAAATCAGTAGGTACCTTTCACTAGGTACTTCTATGAATGGACTCTAAGCAAACTATTTATTCCCTGAAACTAGACGGGAACGTAGTACCACGGAACTAGCCTCGCTGGCATTGCTTGCAGCTACAGAAGCTACTATGTTTTCTCCTGGAAGTTCGTGAATGCCTGTAAATTTTCTTCCTCCTTTCCGATACACAAACAATTCCCTACAAAAATTTCCTTAGTGTGATCTTACCTCACATTTTTTTCTCGGCTTTTGATGAAGGGGGCCATCTTGGTCCCGGGACAGGGGTGAAGGTGGGGGGGGGGGGAGAGCGAATTCTCACACTATCGCTGCTATGGTTAGCGGGCTATTGGGGCAAGAGTGCAGGAACCAATAGCGCAATACCGTAGCAGCGCTTTTCCTAAAGAGAAGAGCGTGGAGGTCGGCGTTTGTGGAGACCCTGTCGTTGTAGGTGCAGAGCATGCGGCAGTCTCCTAACGTTGTCTGGGCACACGTGTTGTTTTTGTCCTATCCAAAAGGCGCCCTTAGGAACCTGACATCGTTCTCGCTACCACTCGGCGCCGTAGGTGGGATCCGATGTACAGGGTTTTTTCCATATCTTCTTGATGACGAAGTAATAAAACTTGTTTACCTACAAAAGCAGACTTACTAGGGCCTACTCTTGATTTCCACGGGGCGATTGCTGACCCGGGTATGGAGCAAGGAGAAGAACCGTTTAGCGACCGGGAAACCAGAGATGGATCTGGTCTGCCGGCTCTTAATCTAGGCATCCGGCCGAAACCGAAAACGTCGTCCTCCTTCACAGCTTGGGAGGCCCTACCAGAGTATACACTTGGCTGTGCATCCAGTTCGACACCCACTGTCATCCGCGCGCCACGTTGAGGCCGCCGACCAATGTGGGGGGAATTTTTACATGTTTTTAACAAACTTCAAGGTAGTGGCTCGGCAAATCTTCGACGTCGAAGTTTTTTTGCTCTTCTGGGTTACCCGATGCGCTGATTCCAAAATTACACTTCGTAGAGCGTTAAAATGGTGAAAACACAGCATTTCTTTCAAACAGCTATTAAGTTGTCACACCTCTACTCTATCTCAAGTATCAGCTCAAAGGAAAATCCTTCAAGTGTTGTCTGCCATTGGGAAAAGTTCACACAACACACTCTGCCTTGGGATGTATGTGCAAAGGTGACCAAGACGGAAAGGAATAAAATTTCTGTTCTGAGCAAACTCACATAAAAGACATAATTCTTGTATAAAATTAGCTGTAAAAGCGTATAATCAAAGATAGGCGCGTATGTTGTTCAATTGCATCAACGTGACGAAAAAAGTTATTAGGTCGTCGCAAAAGCTTTATTTCTTTTTGAAAACCCTCTACAGTAAACTGGAGATGAACAAATACTTTGAGCTGCATCCGATGCAAAATTTTTTCCTTTTTCCAATGCCATGTCCGCAATTTAATCGAGAGAGTGTGGAGATGATTGCTGGATATCACAACCTTTTGCTTTCTCTATGTCTGACTTTGGCTAAATTTTAGAATTTTTGCTGAAACTTCTGAAGGAGCCTTGATAGTCCGCAGATAGAGCGAACCTTTTCAAAACTTAGGCAATTCTTTTGTAGCCATAGGGCTTCTCATTTAGTATCCTCAAAATATAAATTTTTGAAGTAATAAAATTTCACCGCCATTCAAACCTGCTGAAAATAACTAAAGAGGGGAGCTTGTTCAATCAAAGTGACCTTTTTGAATGGATGTGTACTATATTAAGTGCATAAAACCCTGATTCCAAATCTCCTTCCGTATCTGCAAAACAATTATGGACAAGGAGTTATGAGCATGCATCGGGATAAAATGAGTTACTAACTCTTATTAGCCCTCAATTAATGCAACCACGTGTGATCAATTTCTGAGCATTTTTGAATAAAGTGCTTTGATATTATCATTGCTCTACTGAAGAGCTAGAAAAAGTTTGACGGCAATTTAGTTCTACTTGCACAATCAAATTGTTGCCCCAATAAGCGCTCACAGATCATCGTCCATAAATGTTCTGCAGATAAGAGAGACAGTTTTGGAATCCGCATTTTATGCCCTTCAATATAGTGTATATCCTATCTAGAAAGGCGACTTCGATTGAACCCCTTCCTTGTAAATCAAATAAATGCAGCTTTTTCTCTTCGCTCTAAGATTTCTTCTTGGGCAAGATACGCGAAACGTGAGGGAAAAATTGCAGTCCTAATTTCACGAGTCACGTCAACGTATCCTAAACTTTGAAATCTTCAATTTTGGAGCTAAAGTCGCTCATCTACTATGTAAGGCTAGTCAGAATGATATTTTAGAAACCTCAGTATTCTGAAAGTTTTGCAGTGTTTGGTACAACAACTGATATGGATTTCTCCAATATTCAAATTTTTGGAAAATGCAACAAAATTCTAAAAAGGTAATTGGGAAAGAGAAAAATTGCTGATTGGCAAAAGGTTTGCCTTACCTGCTGATTGCTAAACTTTTTCCAAAAGTCTCGAATAAAGATCTTAAAAACTAACGAAACTTGGACGTGGTGAAAAAGAAATGTTGCAGTTTCCAGCAATTATGTCAGCACCCTCTCAACCGAAGCACACTGGGAATAAGCATTTGAGAAGAGGAAGAAATTCTGCATTGGATGCAGCTTGAAGTGTTTTTTTGTCTTTTATTCTAAGGTGGTCATTCAAATCATGGTCAAATTAGCAGAGGAGCAGGCTTGAAACCATTCAATTTTTATTCTAAAATAGCGTTGTTGTGCCAAATGACGTTGAATACGTGCGTAAACTCCACTGGAACCGGAAAATGACTAAATGATTCTCTCCATTCTGATTGTAGGGTATATGAGCTATCAGACGTTCACCTTTTTCGCAATGTCGTCGCAGTGTTGACAGAAAACCGGAGATAGAGATTTTACCATAGCGCTAAAATTATCATAAGATCCTTGTATAAAGTTGAACTTTAGTGATGACAAAAACGGACACTGTCATTGTCGTCATGTTGCTACTTTGTTTGACGACCAGCGTGATGCCACAGGCTCGTCTTGATTTGCATAAACCGTGTAAGCAATATAAAGAAGGCGACAGAGAAGCAATCTGGTGGGCTACGAGAAAGTGCGTGCAACATTGCAAGGAAAAGGAGGTATGTCTCATCATTTGTTACAGATTGAAAATATGCAATTTTAGCATCAACTAAAGCAGCTGGTTGCTGCACTTCATATGTTTTCATACTATCATAACAATCATTCGGCAGCGTGGTAGAATGTATGAAAGCTTTGTACCCTGTATCCGTAAAAGGTAGTTGACAACGCAGGCATAGGAAAGAGATTTGACTAGATAGATTAGATAAAAAGAGTTGACTGGCTAGGAAATTCTTACAACACTTGAGGGATGGCTCAAAGGATCTTAGGAGAAATTCAAAATCAATTTAAGACGCAGTGGTACCCCCACATTTGATAAGTTGAAATAATGTTTCTCAGCATCTCAACTTTTATAAGAGGATGATATCAAGAACGCTCTTCCTGTTTATCTTAAAAGCAGCGTTCGGGCAGAAATTAAGCAAATTTTTTCCGCTTACCTAAACTATCCTTCCCGCTGATTGCGAAAAAGCAGCTTGCAGAGTACGAAAATGTCGAAAATGGTTTATTCCAGAAGTCCTCGATCCTAAATTTGGACGCCTGCCGAGATTAAAATGCAAAGTCGCGGTGGAACTTTACGTCTCGATTGTGTGCGACGTAGCGCCATCTAAGTCTACTTAACCGGCTGCTGGGCTGATGGCGCGCCAAACCCCGTGCCAGCCTAAGGCTCGCTTGCTGGCAGCTGACTCCCTTAGAGCTATTCCAATGTAAAATTTAATTTCGCGTTGGACGATAGGTGTTTCTTCCAACCATGAAGCTGCACGTATGGTGCATTGTTTCCATCAAAGCTGTTGCAATGTAAAAAATATTTTCGCGTTGGAAGAAAGGTGTTTCTTTTAAGCTTGAAGTCGCGCGTACGCAGATAATGCATTGTCTCATACTTGGTCGAAGTAAAACATCCATAGGAAATGTAAAATGTCTCATAGAGCATGGAGAGCGGATTCCAAATCTGCTTTCATCATCTGCAAAGCGCTTTGGGAAAGAAGTTATGGGAATTTTTTAAAGCAGAAATTTCAACGCGTAGATACACTAAAATCCTTCAGAACTGTAGTCTGTAATCAAATGAGGCCATGACTATTGCCAGCGCCCTTCATGTAATTATTTGCTTTAGTCTAACAAACTCATGTTAGTCATAATTCCATTCAAGCGCCGCAAAGACCTCAACACTTGTTTTTAGCTTAGCCGCCAAAACCATGAAATTTTTGTTCCAAAAAATTCTCATAACTCCCCTTGCAGTTACCGAAAACAGATTTGGAATTTCATGCTTTATAAAATAGTTTACATCTTATGTGGATACGGCAATTTGACCATTATCCTTCCCTTTTTAGTATAAAAGTGTCGCACGTATCAGTAAGGTAAATACAGGGTGTCTCAAAAGTAAGTACACACTTTTTGACCGTTAATAACTCTCTTCCAAAAAATCTTTTGTTTGTAAGGAAAGCTACTTAATTTAGCCCGGCCTATAAGCAAGGGTCATAGATAATCTGAATCAGCTTCAAACGCTGATCCAAATATGCTATTCCTAGCTGCCACGCACCATTCCAAAGCTATGGGCTTTTTCCTGAGCAAGATTGGCGTACTACTGAACATGAGAACCTGCCTGCAGATTAAAACCTGCAAGAAAAAGGTGCTAAGTTATCAAAATAGTACAAATCCGATATCTCCTCAATAAAAAAAGCTTAACGCAGGTGTATCAGCACTTAAATGATGATGACGTGATGCCCGTGAGTCGATGAGCATGCCAATTTTGTGCAGGAAAATCCCATAACTCGCTTCGGAATGGTGCGTGGCAGCTAGGAATAGCATATTTGGAATCAGCGTTTAAAGCTGATTCAAAACATATATGTCGCTTGCCAAAAGTCAAGCAGTTAGGTAGCTTCTCTTGTTTGCTTCAAGTACCATTCGGTAGAGTAAGCTTCAACTTGGATTTACAGTATGGAGCGAATCACCCAATGCTCTTTGTTGCTGTTGGATTACGGTAGGAATTTCCAGCGTACAGCGCCACTATGAAATAAGACTTTACAGAAAAAAATTGTAAAAGTTCTGAAAAGTTGTGCAGAGGTGTTTTCATACATGCTGATTTTATTAAACACCTTTTTATAAGTTTTCCAAGCGTAACAAATAATTTTAATCGCATTTTTGAGACATGCTGAAAAACTTTATTGTTGTCTACCTGGCATAACTTGTGAAAAAAAAAGTTTTGCGTTAAGCGTAACTTTCAAATTCATTGTCAGCAACTCAGTTCAGCCTAATGCAAAGGTTTTTGGCTCGTTGAGAATCCATTCTGGTGCAATATGTGGTTTATAGCTCGAAAGCCTCTCCAAAGTTTCTACCGTTATCCGACAATGATGAAGAGAACTGGGCACTTCACTCTATACAGCAAATCTAAGCTATAGCCGACTCTACCGAATAATACCCGAAGCTGAACAAAAGGCTTTGTGGGAAGCGAGTTATTATCGTTGAAATGTGTGTACTTACTTTTGGGACACCCTGTATAAACCTTACACTACTGTTATCGTTTCCAGAGTTTAAAGAAGCTAATCTTGGCTATAGAGATTGACAAGCTTCCCATTCAAACCCAAAATGAGCACTTGATCAAGTCAAATTAGCGTGGACTACAATTAACTACTGAAGTACAACTGCTACTGTGCAGAGCAACACCGATTTTCAAGAATGACTTGAAATCTCTTTTTTATTTAGCAGAATTGCGTTGAAAATCCATTGTCTAAAGGTAAATTTGACTCTTCTAAGCTAAAAAGTCGATCATCAAAGATACAGCACTTTACAGCTGACTGTTTACAAAAAAAGGTTGCTTCCATGAAACATAGATTGTTATAGAGAGTCAAGTGTTGACACTATGAAGACCAAAGCTTCTGAGTCCGGACACGCAGCGATGGCGCTCGCAACCACCCGTACGGCCGGTTAACTAGATTTGGATGGCGCCCGTGGCATGCGTACTCTGGTTTTACATTAAGAGCGTGCTAATCTCCGGGGCGATCCAGTCACCATTTCCAAAGGTTGGCAAATTGAGCCTCACTAGAACGAACGCCATTGTACACTACGTTTTCATATCTGCGAACGCTACCTTTGAATTTTGGATCTTTAATGGGCGAAGATATGGCAAGATTCAGAAAATTTTATTTGATTATTATAAGCCAGTGCGTCACCTCTGCTTCGCAGAGGCTCGCACTGGCTCTACTATCTAGGCCCTAGTCATTCTCGCATAATGATGGCATTGGAACTCACCGAGCAATGCCGACTATCACGAAAAACCACTATCACTATCACTATCACGAAAATGGAAACAATTTCTCATTGCGAAAGCTTTTTTATGTGAAATCTGTGATTTCGCGTGGATGAGACTTTTTGCAGGAAACCAAATGCGAATTTGTATAGGTATACAGTTGCAATAAGAACAGCAGTCACCATGAGCTCATCATCGTGCAAAAATCTCGTCAAATGCTCTGGTAAAACCTTGGCAAATTGACCATTTACGCAGCCACTTTTTGGCGCCGGTTTTGTAAAATAAAGGACTTTTGATCACTTTTTTGAGCCTAAGTTCATGGCTTGCACGCAGAGGTGCGATAGGGGGAGCCGGGACCCCAAAAGTGAAGGTGGTTTCAGCTACCACTGGCCGGCCAAAAGTGAAGGTGGTAGTGTCGGACACTCACCTCCCAAAAACGTCGACGGGGGGGGGGGGGAGGTGCGGGGGGAGGATAGAACGGACGAACGGAGCTATCTTTCTAGGTCTAACGTCGACCCAACGGCCCTCTTTAGGGCCACAGATACGATGAATATTAAAAATATCTATAAATTTTATTTATAAAAATTTAAAATAGACGTGTTTAGTAAATGGTGTATTTGGAAGTAGAAGTTTGTTGGACTGTACGGATTTTATTAAGCAAATTTTGTTATAACGTACAGCGAAGAAAGTAGATCGATCCAGGCAGTAACGGCCGAGAATCAGAATTTCGAATAAATAAATAGTGAAAAATCATGCAAAATTTCCACTGTTATAAATCTGTTGTTTGAAGATGTCAGCAGTTGCGACTTCATAGGTTTTAAAGAGTAAATGTTGCTCTATCAGCTAGTGAAGGAATCTGGTCGATTTAAGAGATAGTCGTTGAAAACCAGAGTTCTAAAACTTTACGCCATTTTTGCGTGTTTTTTGACTGTTGAGAGTTAAACTCTTATAAATCTTGAATGTGGAAGTGTATGATGTTGCGACTTCATAGGTTTTATAGAGTAAGGTTTGCCTTATCAGAATATGTCTTGTACGTTCCGATCCATTGAAACACCTCCGAGATCCAGAGTCATGAAAAAGCAGGTAAAAAAGAGCTCTTTGAACTTCAACAGCTCATAACTTCTTCAGGATTGCACGAATCATGTTGCGACTTCATAGGTTAGAATCTTCTCGTCAAGAGCTTTCAGATGATATATAATATGTGGGGGTTTCGCGCCTCTTACGGCATATGCCCGGGGGGGGGGGAGACTTTTTAGGCCAAAGTCTCCCCCGGCAGCCTCCAGCCAATACATTAAAATGGGCGAGGGGGAGACTTTGGCCTAAAAAGTCTCCCCCCCCCCCCGGTCATAATTCGCAGGAGGCTCTAAACCCCACATATTATATATCATCTGAAAGCCCTTGATGAGAGGAATCTAACCTATGAAGTCGCAACATGATTCATGCAGTTCTGAAGAAGTTATGAGCTGTTGAAGTTCAAAAAGCTCTTTTTTACCTGCTTTTTCATGACTCTGGATCTCGGAGGTGTTTCAATGGATCGGAACGGACAAGACATATTCTGATAAGGCAAACCTTACTCTATAAAACCTGTGAAGTCGCAACATCATACACTTCCACATTCAAGATTTATAAGAGTTTAACTCTCAACAGTCAAAAAACACGCAAAAATGGCGTAAAGATTTAGAACTCTGGTTTTCAACGACTATCTCTTAAATCGACCCGATTCCTTCACTAGCTGATAGAGCAACATCTACTCTTCAAAAC